CTGAACCGCGGGAAGGATTTGCTTGAGATGCTCTCCACGTTTATCCTTTAAAGCATTTCCTTAAATGGTGTTACTTGCTTAATTAGGTCATTACTTGCTGCTTATAAAAGCAAAACCGCCTGCTCTCTAAAACCTCACCTCATCTCTTTGGCATGAAGCTTACAGGGAAAAGGAAAGAAATTGCAAAAGGCAAAAGCATTTTCTTTTCCCCCTTGGCTCGGTTTAGCTTGCGAAACAACCAAAAGGAATAAAGTGTTCATTGATTCCTTTGATACTATTCTCCTTTTTCGGTGGTACCTCTTCAGTGACTAGCAGAGAGAGAGTGAAGTTGAGGAGAGAGGAAGAAAGAGAAAGTTTCTTGTAATCGTCGAGGCGATTGACTGGTATTATTCTTCGAAGTAATAAAAATCTCTGCAGTTTTGTGGACGTAGGCACTTTGCCGAACCTCATAAATCTGTGTATTTCCGCTGTGTTTCTATTTTATATTTTTTGCTTTATTTTCATCGTTTTTCTCAAGAACTAGTATCGGAGCTTTAGTTTGAGGCTGAAAGAAGAACGATGGGCGGAGATTAAGTGATGACATCAGTGAGATTAAGTGATGACATCGGGGATCGAGAAATTCAATGACACAGATTTTGATTATTGGAGGATGCAGATAGAGGACTACTTCTATGGGAAGAAACTTCGTCTTTTGTTACTGGGAAAGAAGCCGGAAAAGATGGCCAAGACGGAATGAAATCTGTTGGATCGACGGGTTCTTGGGGTTGTTCGATTAACCCTGTCAAGATCCGTTGCCCATAATGTCATTAAGGAGAGTACTGCTGCAGATCTTATGGCGGCTCTATCAGGCATGTATGAAAAGTCATCTGTGAAAAAGAAGGTGCACCTTATGAAAAAGTTATTCAACCTGAAGACGGTGGAAGGTATGTCTGTTTCTTAAAACCTGAATGAGTTCAATAATATCGCAAATCAATTATCTGTTGAAATTGATTTTGATGATGAGATACGTGCGCTGATATTGCGCTGATATTGTTGACACGTGCGCTGATATTGTTGACTTCATTGTCAAATAGCTGAGAAGTCGTGAGGATGACAGTTAGCAGTTCTGTAGGTAAATCTAAACTGAAAAATGAAGATATTCGTGATTTGATTTTGGCTGAGGAGGTGCGCAGGAAAGATTCTTGTGAGACCTCGGGTTCGAGTTCGGCAATAATTGTTGATTCCAGAGTGATATCACGGGACAAGAACTCAAGCAGAGGAAGATCAAAATCAAAGTCTGGTCAACAGACAACTTGTTGGAATTGTGACAATGCTGGCGAAATAAAAAGTAACTGCAGGAATCTTAAGAAGGAGAATGATGATGCTAATATTTTAACTGAAGAAATACAAGATGCGCTAGTGCTGACAGTTCACAGTTCCATTGATGACTGGATTCTGGATTCAGGTGCTTTCTTCTATACATCTTCCCAGCAGGAGTTAATGTGAAACTATGTTGCAGGTAACTTTGGAAAAATATATCTAGTTGATGGAAAATCTCTGGATGTGGTGGGAATGGGAGACGTTGATATTACACTCCCTAACAATAGCAAATGGACTTTGCAAAAAATCAGGCACATTCCTGAATTGAAGAATAATCTCATTTTTGTTGGACAATTCAATGAGGGTGGTCATTCAGTAGTATTCTCAAAGAGTACCTTGAAGGTTACTAAAGGAGCATTGGTACTGGCTCGGGGTAAGAAAACTGACACACTATATATGACTACAGGTTTACTTAAGCGTGGACAGCAGAAGGCAGGAAAATCGGATCTTGTACGAACATATAGTGGAAAACCACAGAGTTATGAAGAAATCTTGCAAGATGAAAATTCGAGCAAATGGGAGCTGGCAGAACTTTCACTTGGGAAGAAGAAATTGCATAACAAGTGGGTGTACCGGGTGAAGATTGCGTTTGATGGCAGTAAGAGGTACAAGACTGGACTTGCTGAAAAAGACCTTCAGCTGAGGCAGGATATTACCCATGTAGTGGGAGTTGTAAGCAGATTCATGAGTAACCTAAGAAAGAGCTTGGAGGTACAAGACTATGTTAATGCTGATATGTCAACTATGGGTGTTACTCTTAAAAAATTAAAATTGTGTGCAACTTCAGTTGGTTTTCTAGCGTGAAGACAAAAACTTCGAGTTGCAGAAGTTGGGGATATCACGTTTGAGGAAGAGAACGATGCATCCAGTGGATGGTGAAGTCAGTGCCCCCATCTCCAAGTGGGAGACTTGTTGAGGATGTGGAATCCTGTACACTTCTTCTTCTGGAAAATCATTAAAGTGCTAATTATGTGATTAATTAACTTCCTAATGAAAGCTTCTCGCCTCCCATTTTTTCTCTCTCTGCAGACCCGCGGAACCGCGGGAAGGATTTGCTTGAGATGCTCTCCGCGTTTATCCTTTAAAGCATTTCCTTAAATGGTATTATTTGCTTATTAGGCCATCACCTGCTGCTTATAAAAGAAAAATCGTCTGCTCTCTAAAACCTCACCTCATCTCTTTCGCGTGAAGCTTACAGGGAAAAGGAATGGAATTGCAGAAGGCAAAAGCTTTTTTTTTTCCCCCTTGGCTCAGTTTAGCTTGTGAAACAACCAAAAGGAGTTAAGTGTCCTTTTGATTGCTTTGATATTGTTCTCCTTTATCGGTGGTACTTCAGTGAGCAATAGAGAGAGAGAAGGTGAGGAAAGAGGAAGAGAGAGAAAGTTTCTTGTAATCTTCGAGACGATTGACTGGTGTTGTTCCTCGAAGTAATAAAAACTTCCGCAGCTCCGTGAACGTAGGCAAATTGCCGAACCACATAATTCTGTGTGTTTCCGCTGTATTTCTATTTTGTGTTTTTCTCGATCTATTTTTTCACTTTATTGTGATCATTTTTCACATCAATACTGAATAAATTTGGAGAGGATGTAATTGAGAATTTATCAATGGAATTTTAGCAAGTTGAAAATTTTCTCTTTTCAGTTATGTTATATTCTTCACTAATTTGTTACTGCTTTTAATTGTGAGGCTATGCTTTTTTATATTAGATTATATATATTTTTTATGCAGACAAAAAAATGTGCAACCTTACTCACGATGTAATATCAGCTAAAAATTGTAGGCGAGTTTAGAGTTTCAAATCGTCCAATAAATTACATTTGCGAAAATAAAAAAATATAAATCTGAATATATTCGAGGAGCATAGCCTCACGCGTCAAAACCATCCTTCTGCTTGCACCTCAAAACCATCCATCTGCTTGCAGGTGCGATCGCATACTCTGGCGTGGAAAAGGAATGAAGCAGCAAAGCTACCTTCGCGGCGAGACTCGTTTCTCTGATCATCGCCCCGTCTACGCTCTCTTCACCGTCGACCTCGACGGCTACTACGCTCCGGCGAGACCCTCCTCCGGCGGAACCTCGTCCGCGGCGTGGGGTAAGATCCAGGCAGAAGAGATGCTCTTGTTGACCAGATCTCAGAGCTGCATACAGACCGCGACCCGGTTCTGATAGGTCGAATGGGGATCAGCTGAACCCAATCGCCATACCATTGACTTCCTTTCTGGGGCTTTTTTCCCCTGATATAGCTGGCAAGAGAGGGAAAGAAACTTTAAAGAAGGCTATGTGCGTTATGGCCGCATATACTAACAAAATTATTTTCTTGCTTTCGCTCGCTGGACCTTCGTACTGAGGACTGAAAATGGCTAGCTGGTTCATAGGGAGAGAGATCCAAGTGTAGGAGGCGGGGAGGAGAATGATTTCGTCACGATCACGTGATAGTTAGTAATCATGACCGTAGCTGCACTGTGCATAGAAGGGCAATTTTTTTGATGTGGATGAGAAGCGTGAAGCCTAAAGAAGCTTTAAATTTTGTACAAATGGTTTAGTGTACATTTCTGAAGCGGGATATATATAACGAGCATATTTTTGTGCTGATTTTTGGTTTTTAGTATAAAAATCTATTGGCATTGAGAAATTTGTGTTTGGATATTTGAGAAAAATAATTAACGGTAACTTTTGAAATTATTGAATTTATTTTGAAGATTGATATAGTATATGAAAAAAAATTTAATAAATTTGAAACTCATTGATTAAAAATTATTTTTAGTCCAAGAAAATGTTGACCCAAAATTTTCACTTGATGAACTGGTCCCAACTGCGAGAATATATATTGCATCAGGACTCCGCACATAAAATTTTCACTTGATGAACTGGTCCCAACTGCGAGAAGCATCAGGACTCCGCACATATAGTTATGTGCAGAGTCTAATGAAATCACGTCACAAGTGAAAAAAGAAATCAGCCCGTTAACACACGAGAATATTCTTCTCGTATTATTCAGATGTTATTATGTCTTATTTAAGTGTTAATGATGTGTTATTGTGTTATTATATTATTGTGTTATTATAACACTGTTATTATAACACTAAAAATATTCTCAGAACACAATAACACATGAATAACATACAATAACACCTGAATAACACAAGGGAAATATTCCTCTGTGTTATCTGTGTTACCGGGAGCATCTTCTGTGACCTGATTTCATTGGACTCTGTATGTAACTTCACGTGCGGAGTCTTAGAGTTACGTGCGGAGTTTTGATGTAATATTTTTTCAACTGCTGGCCTTTCTCAGGCTGGAAAGGAAATGAAAATAAGAGCTTGCAACCGAAGCGGGGAGAGGACCGTCCAGGAATGCAAGGGATGGCATGGCTCTGAGCTGGTTATTGTGTCGCCCTTTAGAGAATATTTACCGGCGAAAGATTTTTTTGATTTGAAATATTGGGAGAAATATAAATTTATTTAATTTAAGATTGTAATTTTATGCTTAGTTTCAATGTAGTTCTCAGACAATCACATTTACTTGTATTTATTTCTAGTAAGAAAAAATAAAAACTTTTTATGGAACAATTCAAAAAAATTATTTTTCACTCATGTTTCCTCTAAGCAAACAACGGAACGAAAAATTGATTTCAACTCGATTAATTTTGCTTCCGTTTTCATATTTATTTTTATTTCCAATTCATTTTTCTCTATTTAGATATATTCAAACTAAAGAGTAAGACGGTGAAAAAAGCTTGCTGTTTATTACAATTCCTTTTTCTCTATGTAGATAGATTCAAACCGAAGAGTTAGATGGTGAAAAAATACTCACTATTCACTAACAACTCCTATTAGGCTAGTTAAGTAGCTCGTATTAAATTTGTTTAATAATAGATAAACTGAACATGCAAAAAATTTTTGAGCTCGATATAAAAACAAACCCAGCACGAACAATAATCTCTTAATTGGTGTACGAATCGAATTGGCTCAAATTAATTAAAGAATTAATAAATGATATTGTAATAGGATATATGTAGTAAATTATAAATTGTATTTTAAAAATTACTAAATTTTAAATAGTTTTAGCTAGTATTGTAAAAATAAAGTAAAAATTTTATATTGGATATGTAAATATATAAAATTTAGTTGGTATGTACTCCCTCCCAAACCTGCTATCAGCTGCACTTCCATAAAAAAAAAATGCTATGTAGTTTGTGTTCAATTCATTCCTTAAGCAAATGAGTCGAATGTGAAAAAAAAATTGAGCTAGGTTTATAAACAAGTCCAACTGAATCAAAGGTTTATTCGTTTGAATCCGACTATATTTGACTCAAATTAGACAAATAATCAATAAATAGTGTTATTATTGTTAGATATTACACTAATTGTATTTCTATTATTTTACCCTACTTAAGGGTAGTTTAGTCCTTTTGCTTATTGTATATATATACTCTTGTAATGAGGTGCTTGAGGTAATGGAAACCTTCGCCACTTTTCATTGTCTCATCTCTTTCTCTTCTTCTTTCTATATTTCAATTGTAATTTTAAACATGGTATCATAGCAAGTTTTAATCCATTCATAGCTTTCGTAGATCCATCTCCACGGTGAGTTGGCTGGGGGGTTTGCAGGGGGCAGCGCCCACCTGCTCGGGGTTGGGTGAAGCCTCAAAATTTTTTTTCAGGAATCTATATGCAGTTTCTGGGTTATTTTGCAGTCTCCAGTGATAGATCCAATTTTCACCGTCATTTGCACTCCAGCGATAGACTCAATTGGAGTATTTTAGGTGATCTATTGTTATTGGTATTTGATCTTCATGTTCTTTGTTTTATTTTTTCTATTGATAATAGTAGTAATGACCGTTGAAAAAGATGATTTTTTTCAGTATATTAGCGTGCAATTAAATGGACAAAACTACTCATATTGGAGTTATCAATTGAAAAATTTTTTGAAAGGCAAAATAATTTGGGGTTATGTTTCTAGAACCTCTGTTAAGCCCACAGATGAAAATGATGAAAAATATGAAGAAAGGTTGGAAGCATGGGAAGCAAATAATTTAAAAATAATCACTTGGATCAATAAGACAGTTTCACAATCAATCGGTGTCCAGATAGCAAAATATGAAACTACCAAAGAAGTTTGGAATCATTTGGAAAGATTATATGTGCAGTCAAATTTTACAAAGCAATGTCAATTAGAGATAGATATTCGTGCTCTTAAGCAAAACAAAATGAGCATCCAAGAATTTTATTATGTCACAACTAATCTTTGGGATTAGTTATCTCTTATTGAATCTGTAGAATTACAAGATTTTAAACAATACACTGATCGTAGACAAGACAAAGTTTGGTTTAATTCTTTATGGCTCTTCAACATGATATTGAAGGGCTTCGTGGAACAATTTCACATCGCAATCCTCTTCCAACAGCTGACTCAGCGGTTAATGAGTTATTAGCTGAAGAGATTCGTCTCAAATGACATATCTCTCAAATGGATGTTAAAAATGCATGGTGATCTTCAAGAGGAAGTTTACATGGTGCCTCCACCAGCTGTCTCTCATAATCATGGTGAAGTTTGTAAATTAAAGAAAGTTCTCTATGGTCATCAACAAGCTCCTTGAGCTTTGTTTGAAAGTTCATTATTGTGATTGCATCTCTTGGTTTTCATTCTAGCTCACATGACACTACCTTGTTCCTCAAGATATCTCCCATGGTCATACCATACTCTCTTTATATGTTGATGTCATGATTATTATTAAGGATGAGGATAATGGGATTGCAGAGTTGAATATACAATTAGCTCAACTGTTTGAGATGAAAGCTTTGGGTATTCTTCGTTATTTTTTCAGGATTGAAGTGGCTCATTCTCTTAGAGGTTATCTTCTTTCCCAATCTAAGTATATTGGCACCCTCCTTGAAGAGGCTCTTCTCTCTGATACTTGAATAACGACTACTCCTCTTGAGCTTGTTGTTCACTATACCTCTTCTGATAGTGTTCCTTTGTCCGATCCCACTTTCTACTATACACTTGTTGGAAGCTTGGTACATCTTACCATCACTCAACCTGATATTGCTTATATAGTACATGTTGTTATTCAGTTTGTTGCCTCTCTTACTACAGTTCATTAGGAAGATATTTGATATACCAAAAATATATGCATTTCTAGACCTATATTTTATACTCAATTTTGTTGATATTACACTTTAATGGAAGGTAATTTTCATGTTTTCTTGTAGTTTGTTGATTTTTAGGACTTGGAGCAAAAAAGAAGCAAAAAGAATGAAATTTAGAGTCAAAATGGAGAATATAAAATTTTTTTCAGCGCCAACGCCACCAGAATCGGCGCTGACGGTGTCATTTAATAGAGAGCAGCGAAATAAGTAGAAGACCACTGGCGCCAATGACACCAGTGTCGGTGCAGACTCTGTTTCTAGGAGATTTGACAAATTTAGATGCTTTTTGAAGAGTATTTGGATGCACATATTGGAGAAGGAGAACCGACTCTACGTTTTATTTGGGGCCAAAATTGACTAGAAAAGTGACTTTTCCTGACTTCTCATTGCCCAAATATCAAACTCCTATGCACCACACACTCTTCCATTTCATTCCACAACCATTTACAGTCCATTATTCTTATAATTTAGAGTTTTAATGGTGAGATTAAGTGTGAGTTCTGCTCTAAGAGTTCTTGGAGAAGAACAAAAGGGAGAGATTTCTTCTTCCTACATGTCCTAGGAGAGGCCGCAAGGGATTTGCTTTGAGAAAGAGTTTCAGATAAGTGTTGTTTATTTAGTAGTGCTGCATAAACTTTCTTTTATATATTAAATTTATGTTTTGTTGTATCTTTCTCATGAAGTCTAAGTAGTTTCTTTTATCTTTCTCCCTACTCTGAGATATGGTAAAATAAAGAGATGATATGGATGGGCCAATGTTAAAATGTAAAATAAATTGTGATGGTTTTTCAACTCCGAACTTAATTTACTTTTCGATCTAGCTAATTAGATTGTTAAAATTTGTTGTGAAACATATGATCTGGGAAATGGAGTATGAGTTCTACAACAGAGTGATGAACACATTTGATTCCATAAAGGAGAATTTTATTCATAGAATTAAGTGTAAATAAATAGGGAAATATACATTGTTGGGTGTAGAATTGGAGATTTTAGGGTGACAGACTAAAAATTCCCAATTTGGTCTTCGTGTTTATAAACTAAAGTGAGAGTTAGCCTTCAGGGGAAGGGAAGTGGGAGCTTTGGAGTGGGAGCCAGTATCCTCCTAGCCTAGCCTTAGGGA